TAGGCAAAATTGCATTTTATGCCCCGTAACTAGGAGTATGTGGCAAATGTGGACAACTTCTTTTTGGTTTAGCAAAAGTGCCCTGAAACTTGTTAAAACTCGTAATTCGTACCCAATTTGGGTACAAATTTCGAATTTTAACAAGTTACTGTCCTGTTTTGTCACACGAAAAACCGGTCAAATCCGGTAACTTGTAGGTAAATGGGCACGAATTCCGGGTTTTAACAAGTTTTGGGGCACTTTTGCCAAACCAAAAAGAAGCTGTCCACATTTGCCACACACGTATAGTTACAGGGCACAAAATGCAATTTTGCCATAATAATAAAATAAAATTATCATTTAAGAGCAGCTCTACTCATAAGAGTAGGTACATTATCTTGATCCTCACCACTTTATAACATGTAAGAGCACCATACCGCATTAGCATTTGAACAAAAAGATTTTGCATGAGCTGCCAACTATTTAATGGAATAGGTATAAAAAAGATTGGAGGGAATTTCACACCTTGCGTTCAATAAGGCACAAAACCGTACGCTTATCACATATTGAATTGGTACATTCTATTAGATAATTCGAGATGATTGCTTCTCATCCTAGACAGTAGACAGTGCGGAGCTAAGATATTAAAATATTGAGGCTAATGAAATTGCGATCTCCGATTTTTTTAAATTCAAACTCGACGATTATAGTATATCATTATTAATCTTTTCGACCAACTCTCTTTCAATGTAAATAATCATGGAATCCGCCAAAAAAAATTCTCTTCCATCATATTCCGAAGATTTGTTTCGACAAGTTTCATAGTTGAAAAACCCTAAAACAATGAATTGAGTTAAAATTTGAGTTTGATTATGTGTGCTTATGTTTCCCCTTTGTGAAACGAGGACAGCCACAAAAAGACCAAATTCAAAAAATGAGAAATTTTCATTGATTGGTGTTCAAAAACAGATTGTGTCCTATTCCTACTCAGTCGAAAATGTGCCTACAAATTACAAAACTCTCAGTTCACTGACTGTTGACTTACAACCCATCATCATGTACTATTTTGATTTTCGATTTGGAGCAGATGTTTTGCTCACACTACCTTGGAGTTCTCTTGTCATAGCTAAAATCCTCATAGTAGTTGCACACTCATGCCTACAGTTCCAGTTAGATTTGATCTCACATGATATATGTGAAGTGAGTAATTATTAGTTTATTTTTGTAATATAATTGTTTTAACTTGGAGCTTTTTTTTTTGTGAGACCTAGCTAATATATGTCTAATGTTGCATAATTCTACCATTGTTGTCTATCTAAGTGTTTAAGAAACTTGCTTGTTAATGGAACCAATTGATGCATCATAAGCATAATAGTACATAAACAGACTATCATTATTGTATTTTTATTGTTTCATTAGTTATTTGGTGAGGGTCATATGCATGAATGC